TCTACGGGCTACCTCATGAAAATCTAAATACACATATTTTCAGATTTCTCAAAAATTGTCAGAACTTCCATGCTCCGGGGTTAATGAAGATGCTATTAAGTTGCAATTATTTCCATATACATTGAGAGATGCTGCATTAGAGTGGTTAAACGTCGAACTTTATAAAAACATTACTATATGGGAAGAATTGATCAGAAAATTTTGCAACAAATTCTTCCCATGAGCAAAAGTAGTTAAAATCAGATTGAAAATTCAAACTTTCCCATACAAAGATGGAGAGAGCTATCATGAGAGATGGAATGGATTCAAAGAGTTGATGCGAAAGTGTCCAAATCATGGAATCACAATAGGTAATCAAGTGCAGTACTTCTACACCGGACTCTCATCACTGTCAAAATCTTAAGTGGAGTCCTCTGCGATGAATCAATCATAGAAAAATCAGTACAACAAACCATGACTTTATTTGAGTTAATTGTCACAACACATTCAATGTTTTCATCAAAAAGAGTGGTACCAAAGAGAAAATCTAGGATGTATTGGTAAAATCACAAACGAGATGAGCACATGCAGCGATGTGTGGTCCATCATGTAAAAACTATGGAGCTAACCATTTGACATAAAACTGTATGTCTATAGGCTTTCCTGAGGAACACGTCAACTTCATTCAGAATGACTCCCGCAATTTTAACATATATTCGCAAACATGTAACCCAGGATGGAGACAGCACCCAAATTTTAGATGGTCAGATAATCAACAAGGAAATTGTTCAAATAATGCCCGGGGGAGAACAAACTAAATTTGGGAGAGATGTTTCATTAATATGTGCAGAAACCAGACAAAGTATTCCAACAGATTGATACTAATTTTCAAAGTCACCAAGCATCTATCAAGAAGTTGGGGCATTGCCAAGCAATACAATGACAAATCCTAAAGAGAAAGTGATGGCAATAAGAACAGTAGAAAATGATCTACCCAAGGCTCCTGTAAAAGTTAAAGCATATGTACCTCCCGACCACGATGCTCCCAGA